GAACCTGACTTCAGTACTTCAGTCTCTCACAACTACCCCATTTGATTCTTTGGCCAAATGTTTTCTTCTACATCTTGGCTTGAAGGTGGCTTTCCTAGATGCAATCATGTCTGTGAGACATTTAGGAGAAATTTGTGCTCTTATGACTGGACCACCCTATGTGTTTTTTCTCAAAAACAAGGTAACTCTCAAAGCTCACCCCAAAATTTTCTCTAATATTTCTTCTTCCTTTCACATCAGTCAGCCTATCCATCTTCTCAAAGTCATCCCTAAGCCTCATAAGGACAGGAAGGAAGTGATTTTGCACACCCTGGACATCAGAAAGACAGCAGCCTTTTATCTAGAACAGGCCAAATTGTTTAGGAAAACTACTAAATGGCTGTTCTTCACCATGGACTACTTCAAAGGCAAAACCATTTCTAAGGAGAGTCTTTCCAAATGGATTTCAGATTACATTCAGCTCTGCTACCAATAGTATGACCTACAGGCCCCCTCACAGGCTACAGTACACTCCACAAGATCTGTAGTGACATCAGTTGTCTTTTCAGTTCTGCACACTTCATTAACAAAAAGATGACTAATGAGCAGGCTTTGTCTTTTCATAACCAGCCCCACACCGGACACTATATAAACAAATAAAATAAAGACTGAACCTTCCCCCATGAGCTCGCAGTCCAGGATTATAACAAGATGTGACAGTAGCTAAACAGATAGGGCTGGTGCAAGAGACAAAGTAACAATACAGACGACGCATTTGCGTAAGTTAGGTCACCCATAGTAAAAGTGTTTGGCTATAGCTAGAAAAGCCAAATCATTCCCAAACCACAAACAACTACCAGTGCCTGATGTGTGTTCACATAGTTGGTAGCCATGAAGAAAGATAAAATACTAGAATATTCCTTCCATAATATATAGGAACATCCTGCTCTCTGTGCTCAGAAACCATGGTGATGAGTGCAGCATATGAATCTATTTAGGTGGCTAGGATGTGACTAGTGACCATCTGCCTGCAAAAATGGAGTGAGCTAAGATGAAGGCTGAAAGGTTTATGGAACTAAGACCACAGGACAGGGCTGAACTAAGTAGCAGTACAGGCAGTCCCCGGGTTACGTACAAGATAGGGACTGTAGGTTTGTTCTTAAGTCGAATTGTATGTAAGTCGGAACTGGTACATATTGTAGGGGAAACTCTAGCCAAACATTTCTCCAGAGCTCAGTTTTATTCTCCCACACCTCACTTCCCTCAGTCCTTTATTCTCAAACTGAGGTGTCTGACGAGAAAAGCCACTCCGCGTCTCCCTGGTCTGCTTCGCATCTCCCTGGTCTGCTGGGGGGAAGCAGCTAGTGCGGGGTTGCCTCACCCCGTTTGTAAGTAGGGATCCGATGTAAGTCGGATCCATGTAACCCGGGGACTGCCTGTACTTTATTCCCATCTCAGAGGGATAGCTGCATAGACTGTAACTTTAAAAACAATGAGTAGTCATGTGGCACCTTAGGCTAAGTCTACATACAAAAAAAAGTCAGATTTGCGTATCTTTTCCCACTTTTTTTCCAAAAGAGGCTTTTCTGAACTTTGGCCCGTCTACACAGGGCCAAATTTTGGGAAAAACTCCTCTTTCGGAACATCCCTTATTCCTCTCAACTGAGAGGAATACAAGGATGCCGAAAGAATATGTCCATTTTTTCAGAAACTGTTCCAAAAAAGTAGATGTGTTCCTTGGACGTGGTAGAGCTTTTCCAGGATACCTCTGGTATACCAGAAAAGCCCTGCAGTCTAGACATAGCCTTAGAAACTAACAAAAATATATAATATTGTGCGCTTTTGTAAGACCCACTTTATTAGATGAGTTGTTCGTACCATAGCTGTACAGTAATGGTCTATATCCTTCCTTTCCCGTGAATTACAGTTTTGTTTATTCAGCCCAAAATTGTATTGCCCTTTTTTATTGCAGTTGGGTCTGAATAATAACATCCTTTGCATACTAATGAGATGAATACTTTATTCCCATCTCAGAGGGATAGGGTTTGTCTACATAAGAAAGTTGCACTGATTTATTTAATTTAAACTGAACTCCGTATGGACATTATTATTTCAATTCAAGAGTGTTCAGTTGAGTTTAAACTTGATTGTTCGTTAAATCTAAAGTGAAAGAAATCACTCTTGAAACATAAATAAACTTGTCTACACCAGTTTTAACTAAATCGTTTTAAGGATGCTCAGTACCTTGGAGGATGGCCCATAAGCTAGCAGCATAGCAGCAACAACTTTCCTGTTACACTGGTCTACAATTTTTTAGAAGTCGTCTGCTTCAGAGATAAAATGTGCTATGTATTTTGATGTGCTGAATTCAAATGACAGTTAAAACAACTGATTGGCTACTGTTTCCAAGATATTTAAGTTTTTATTTTATGTCTATGTATATTGTGTAGATAGTAGAGTTTTAATCATAAATTGTAAACCTAGGTCTTTTCATGTGTTTATGGTTGCTTTACATGATAATATTTCACCTGTCCAGTTTATGTAACACTTTAAAAATCAGCAAAAGGGTTATATAAATAAAATGTATTATGAAGCAAAAGGCAAAAAACTATTATGTACATAGTTTAGTCCTATTCAGTGTCTACTCGGTGCTTCTTGGCTTGTCTCTTGTATTCATTAAATGGAGCATCTCTTGCCACTGTCCAGCAATAGTGTGCAAGCATTGATGGGCTCCATTTGTCCTGATAGCATTTCTCCATTGTTGCAATGTCCTGGTGAAATCGCTCGCCATGCTCGTCGCTCACTGCTCCGCAGTTTGGTGGAAAAAAATCTGGATGAGAGTGCAAAAAATGTATCTTTAGTGACATGTTGCAACCAAGGCTTTTGTATGCCTTGAGGAGGTTTTCCACCAACAACCTGTAGTTGTCTGCCTTGTTGTTTCCAAGAAAATTTATTGCCACTAACTGGAAGGCTTTCCATGCTGTCTTTTCCTTGCCACGCAGTGCATGGTTAAATGCATCATCTCGAAGAAGTTCACGAATCTGAGGACCAACAAAGACACCTTCCTTTATCTTAGCTTTACGTAACCTTGGAAATTTTCCATGGAGGTGTTTCAAAGCTGCTTGTGTTTTGTCCATGGCCTTGACAAAGTTCTTCATCAGACCCAGCTTGATGTGTAAGGGTGGTAACAAAATCTTCCTTGATTCAACAAGTGGTGGATGCTGAACACTTTTCCTCCCAGGCTCCAATGACTGTCGGAGTGGCCAATCTATCTTGATGTAGTGGGAATCTCTTGCACGACTATCCCATTCGCAGAGAAAACAGCAGTACTTTGTGTATCCAGTCTGCAGACCAAGCAAGAGAGCAACAACCTTCAAATCGCCACAAAGCTACCACTGATGTTGGTCATCGTTTATGCACCTCAAAAGTTGTTTCATGTTGTCATAGATTTCCTTCATATGGACTGTATGACCAACTGGAATTGATGGCAAAACATTGCCATTATGCAGCAAAACATCCATGACTTCTAGGAATAACATGATGCAATTCATATAATGTATGACACAATACCAGCTTCAGATTGCATCATTCATTATTTTGCCAAAAAAGCAAGTACTGTCCAAACCCAGTCATAGATTTATTCATAGATCCAGTCAAAGATGTATTTTAGTCATTTCTGGTTTAAATTGAGATTTCTTCCCTTAATAACTCACGGTATGTCTACACTACCACCCTAGTTCGAACTAGGGTGGTAATGTAGGCAACCGGAGTTGCAAATGAAGCCCGGGATTTGAATTTCCCGGGCTTCATTTGCATAAAGCCAGGCGCCGCCATTTTTAAATGTCCGCTAGTGCGGACTCCGTGCCGCGCGTCTACACGCGGCATGGACTAGGTAGTTCATGAAACGAGGAGTAACGGTAGTAGGAAACGAGGAGTAACGGTAGGTAGGAAGTTTAAAAATGGCGGCTCCCGGCTTTATGCAAATGAAGCTCGGGAAATTCAAATCCCAGGCTTCATTTGCAACTCCGGTTGCCTACATTACCACCCTAGTTCGAACTAGGGTGGTAGTGTAGACATACCCTCACTTATCCTCTGCCATTTGCAAGTCAAGGGTCGTATATACTGACCCAACAGCATATCTTGAAAACTAGAGCCAATGAACAATTTTAAGCATCATTTTCATTCTCAGTGACCCAGAATTAGTAAATGTTGACTACATTTATTTCAGAAGCATTTTGGCTGTAGAGCAGTGTTATTGAAGCATTAGGAAAAATAAATGTTCTTTCAAAAATTGTTTCTCTTTATAGGGAATGGGGCCCCGAATCATAAATAAATTTGTGCCAGTTAATCAGTGGACAAGATCATCTTATTTGCTCCGGTAGGGGGGAAATGTGTCCATCCAGTTTTGGGTCCTCTCCCGCTGGACCTGTCTCTGCTGCTTTTGTTTGTTGTTCCTCCCCAAAAGCAGCAGAATGAAATTGATTTGATTCTTATTGGTATCCCTGCTGTCAGCACAATTAAATGGTAGCAGCAAAAGCTGACACTCATTAGTTTTCATTCAGCTGCATTATAAGTAAGTTTTGAGAAGACAGAGCTAATTGTTAGTAGTCTTCCAAAGACAACACTGTGTTAACATTTGGTTCATATTCAGGAAATTATCTTTGTAACCATAGAGGTTGAAGAAAGGAAAGTTTAAAAAAAATTAGATTCTGCAGAAGTTAATATTATTGATTTCTCCATTTACCAGTGACAAGTAAGTAATTAGACTTTTACATGTGCTGGCCGTAGTAATGTACTGCCTTTATGCCAAAGTATATAATATTGACACAGTGATTCTCTATAAAATATATAGTGAAGTTTTGCAAAATCAGAAGGAGCTTGTAAGTTTCAATATAAACAATTAATCAAGCATTGAAATACTGACAGCCAAGAAGAAAAACAGTATTTCTGATTTTGCTCAATCTTTTTCATTCATTAACTAGGAGCAATAAGTTTTACTAAACGTTTTATTTCTTTTCAAGGAAGAGACCATTTCAGGTTTGAAGGATTTCATTTCTGAGATGGAGCAATCATCAAAGTAAGTCTCAGATTTCAAGTACAGCATCATAGAGGTTTTAGTTTGACTACTATAAAATATGTGAAAATATTACATTGTGAGCATACACACTGAAATCAAAATGTATTAACAAATAAATTATTTCTAATCTATCTTCTTACTGGAAGATTTGCCTGGTGTTACTTGGTTCCTTCAGGGATGAGGGTGTGTGGGGTGCAGGAGTCAGGACAGGAGCTTGGGGATTTGGTAGGCTCAGGGCAGGGGGCTGGGCACATGAGGGGTGCAAGAGTCAAGGTTGGGGGGTAAAGAGGGACTCAGGGCAGGGGACTCAGGGTGTGGGGGGGTCAGAAGTCAGGGTTGGAGATGAGGAGGGGCTCAGGGCAAGAGAAGGGGGTTCCAGAATGTATGGAGTTGGAAGGTATGTGGGGGTTCAGGGCAGGAGTGGAGGCGGCAAACACAGATGGCCCACCATCTGTCCCCTAAAGCTGGCCTGGGGCAGCAGCAGCCACATTACCTGGCTGCTGGTTTTTCCCCAGCACCAGCTTGGCGTGGCAGTGGCCATGCAGCCCAGCTGCTCCCTGGGGCTGGCCTAGGGTGGAAGGAGCTGTGTAACGTCCTGCCAGCTGCTCCTTGGGGCTGAGGTGCTTGCAGCTTCCTCTGGTCATTTGAGAGAGTATAACTGTCCTTGCTATCACATCCTTCCCTTTCTGTTTGATGAGAAACCATCACATCCACACACATCCCATTGTCCTTGCACAACCAAACCCTTATCTTGCTTTAAGTTAGGATAAGAGGAAGCAGTATGCCAAATTTAGTTGTCCTCGCTTTTACCCATTAGGAGAAGTTTTTGAACAATGGACTCACAGACAGACAGATGCACATTTCTAGAATATATAGTAAGAAGATTAAATGTCACTTTTCATTTTAGACCTGTTTTGCTTAATATTTATTTGTAAACTCTTTCACTCTTTGAAAACATATCAGTCTTGGTGGATTAATTATTATTATTTTATTAATTTAAATGCTTATTACATCCCTATCTTATTTGCTGCATAGACAGTCTGCTGAAGCTCTTTGCATCTGTGAGGAAGATATAACCAGATTGCGCCAACAACTGGATGAAACCAATAATGAACTTGCTCAGACTGGAAGGGACAGAGAATCATTAGTTCAAGAGAACGATAGGTTACAGGAGCAACTTCATAGAGTTAAGAAGGAAAATCAGGTATGTCTATGTACAAAAAACTATGCTGAAAGGTAAAATTGCATATTTCCCAAAGTGTTGCATGTAATTTATATGCTATTTATATGCAAAAGAACTAAATTCAGATCTGCTGACTGGTTTATAATCTCAGCTCTGATATTATCATGCTCAGTTTCCTCCTACACCTCAATTACCTTCTGCAAGGGGTGAGAAATAAGCTTTTAGGTCAGAGATTCTCAATTTTTTTTTTCTTAGAGTAGATTATAGAGAGTATCTTCAGGGGCTACTAAACTAATTTCTTACATAGAAAAGTAATATTAAGAAAGTATTTAGTACTTTAGTTGTCTTTTGGGTGACACATTCTTCTCCGTGTGCTTGTTCACATCGATTTCAGTTAGGTGTATGCATTCTGGATACATGATCATTGGAAAGTTTTCTCCTTAACTGACCATTGGGTCAGATGTGGAGCTCCTTAGAGTGGTGCCTCCATGGTGCTTAATATAAAGCCCTGCTGACCCTTCCCCCCTTTGGTTGGTTCCTTCTTACCTCCATGATGATCACTGGAACAGTGTTTGTCTTTCCTGGCAAGTGCTCCTTTATCTCGTTAGTTAGTTCCCTTGGGTATGTCTACACTACCACCCTAGTTCGAACTAGGGTGGTTAATGTAGGAAACCGAAGTTGCAAATGAAGCCCAGGATTTAAATATCCCAGGCTTCATTTGCATCTTGCCGGGCGCCGCCATTTTTAAAGCCCCGGTAGTTCGGACTCCGTGCCCGCGGCTACACGCGGCACGGAGAAGGTAGTTCGGATTAGGTTCCACCTGGGTGGAACGAGGTGTACCGGTAGTTCGGATTAGAGAGCCTAATCCGAACTACCTAATCCGTGCCACGTGTAGCCGCGGGCACGGAGTCCGAACTACCGGGGCTTTAAAAATGGCGGCGCCCGGCAAGATGCAAATGAAGCCTGGGATATTTAAATCCTGGGCTTCATTTGCAACTTCGGTTGCCTATGTTAACCACCCTAGTTCTAACTAGGGTAGTAGTGTAGACATACCCATAGTTATTTAAAGTTTCTCCTAGTTAAGAGTATTCTGTTTTGATTATGGACAAGGGTTCTATCCTTTCTCTTTCCGCCACTTCGCTCAAGAGCATAACTCAGACCAGGGGTTTAAGCTATGTGGCAAGTCTATGCCAACAAGTGACCCACCTGATGAGTGTTTGAAAAGCCTCACAGAAGTGCACCAAACATAAAGCTGTAAAAATTGTCATTTCGACAAGGACCAAGAAAAAGAGGTATTTTAGATTAAAACAAATCTTAATAGAGTCTGCTTTCTGACTTCAAATTGTGGATCCAAGTGAATCAGTGTGGAGCAGCCTAAAAAGCAGCCCAGTGATCCTCAGCACCATAGTGTTCCTTGCACTGTTCTCATTCGCCGATGCCACGTAAGCAAAAGGAAAAGGCTGAGCAGAGCCATTCACCAATGAGGGCATCTCAGCCTTCAAGGCTAAAAGTAGTTTATCCCCAGTAGGAACACTAAGCATCCAAGACTCAGGGGCCAGGGCTATTGACTTTGGTTCCCATTGTGCTTCTGTCAAGTCAGCATCTAATCTGTATCCTCCAATCTCAGGTGGAGGAATTGGATTTCCCATCCACCCTGACACTTTTGAAGCTACCTCATTGAGATGGCGGTGCTGTTAAGGACAAGCGTTCAATGCTGCCATTAAGGGGGAATACAGCTATGTTATGCCATTTTTCCTCAATGGCCAGAGCTGTTCTCCTAGGTGCCAGTCCCACTTGCTATCAATCCCAGTCACAGTTGGTACCCCCAGCATGAATGAAGTAGCACCATTTCTGGCACTGACAGAATGGCAGTGATTCCTGATCCTGGCCAAGTATCGACAATCCTCATTGGCACACCATTCAGCAATGGCACATTCAGCAGAGGTTGGTGCCTCCATAGTTTTCCAGCTCCAGATAGGAGCTATCAGGATTAGAAGTAGAATATGTTTACTCTTTTCTCACAGGTATGACAGCCAATACCTGCCTGTAACCTAAACCTGGTATTAGCTAGACTTATAGGACCGCCTTTTGAGCCATTAGTTACTTTTTCTTTACTCTCTCCTGGAAAGTGGCTTTCCTGTTTGCGGTCACATCAGCCAGGAGGATGTCTGAGCTGAAAGCACTAACTTTGGACCCTTCTCCTCCCTTATAGAAGGCCTTCTATAAGGACAAGGTGAAACCCAGCTTCACCCACAGAGCCTCCTGTGAATATAAAGGTCTGCCTGTGAAAGCAGCTACTCACTGGAAACTCCTCCTGACTATGAGACTGCACCACCCCCAACTCCATCCCCAGCTACATCTCCTGTTTGGGGCACTGCAGCCCCACTAGTAGCAAAGTTGGTGACAGTACAGATGCATGGCTGGGAAGAGCTGCCAGTACGGGACACTGGCTCCTGGGAGTGGTGACACCATGCTTGTCTCCTTTAGCCGCAGCATTTTCTGGGAATAGAGCCCTGCGAATTAGTGGATACCAATGTCTATCCACAAATAACTGCATCTGTGGGTAGACATTTGTATCCATGAAGGGCTCCACTCATCCAGCCTTCCTCCTCTAGGTGGTGACCTGGTTCCATATAACACCAGGCAATTGTCTGCCCATTTTTTACCCCAAGCAACACAGCAATGCTAGAGAATGACAGCTCTAAGCACTAGATGTTAGAAGGGCACTATCATTCTAAATCGAGTGCACCAAGCCATTCAGAAAATCGAACTGTTTGTGGCAGCAGTGGATAGCATGAAAGGGCTCTCAGTCTCAGTGTTTCTCTCACAACACGATGCTTACTTTTGACAGAAGGGTTTTCCAATGATTCCTTAACTCTAACCCTATCTCTGGAGAAAAACTTGGAGGTCACCTGCTTGGAATTGATATTAAGAAGCACTTGAAGAAAAAACACTCACCTTCTCGTAACTGTTCTTCAAGATGTGTTGTAGCCAGGAATAGCTAGTGAGAAGGAACTGAAAGGGGAAGACTCATCAGGCTTAGCACAGCCAACCCAGTGTGTTCTGCTAAAAGAAAAACTTTCTGATGATCATACACACAGTGCATGCATACCTGATTAAAAGGGATATGAACAACACATCTTGAGGAGATTTCTTTCCTTTTAAAAATAAGTATTACACTATTATTTTTCATTCTTCCTTTTAACTCTCCCTCCCATGAGTTTTGTTCCTTTTTCTCCTCTTCTTTCTTGCACATGTTTCTCTCATGCATGCATGTCTTCTCCCCTGTGTATGTTTCCCTGTCATCTGGTTGCCCTCTTCGCTCTGAAGATGTTTTCGTGCAATTTGGTTCACTGTTCTTCTGGGTGTGCTGCCTAGTCACCTAGTGGTCTTCTCTGATGTCTTGAATGTTTTATTCTTTTCTTTTATTGCCATTCTTCCTTGCTTGTGCTAGATCATTTTGCTAAATAGAAGCTTGAAGGAAACTCACATTTGCTCTTCTCTTCTTAAATAGCAGTGGTATAACATATGCTTTATTTTCTCACAGAAATTGCATTGATTAAATATATTTCTGAATTGATTTTATTAAAATTAGTGCAACCTCTCCTTGTGTGGACATTCTTAAAAGGCTGTTATACGTATTGGTATTTGGTTTAATTTTTGTGTGTAGACCAGCTGGGAGAGAGAGCAAAACTTTGTTGCGGCTTCTTGTTTCAAGTTACTTTGACAGGGTTCCAGATTTTTCTTTGCAGTGATGAGTCTAGATTCCTGTGGCAGCAGTTGGAGGGAAGAAAACCAGCCTCCTGTAATCAGTCAATCTTCATTAGACCAATAGGAAGTGCTTTGTAGATTTAATCATTTTGCTCTTGCCCTATGGAACAGTTTTATCTTGGACTCTGTCTCACAAATAAATCAGAACTTTTTAAAATCCTATCTAAGAGGTTACCTCTTCTCCCCTAACCTTTTGTTATTTTGTTGAAGAGCTTTAGCACCAACTATCTTTGCTCCTTTTTATAAATCATTGTTCTTCATTGAGTAGTGTCCCCGAGGGTGCTCCACTCGAGGTGCTGGGCTCATCCTGGCGCTGCAAACTGGAGGAATTTTTCATAGCAGTAGCCCCCTACCGGACTGCACATGCGTGACTGCTTCCTCGTGCCTCTCAGCTGAGCGCGGTCCGGTCCTGTCAGTTTCTCTCCAACCGTCCGCAGCCGCAGACGGAGTTACATTAGACTCCCTTTGCCTCTCTGAGGGGAAAGGGAGATCTCTTAGTTAGACTTTGTTTCTTGTTATATGTAGATTAGTTGTTTCAGTTATAGTTGTAGATTAGTTGTAGTCCCGTTTTTTTGTTGTTGTTTTTTTTTTAAAAGAAAACACAACAACAACAACCGTTTTTCTCTTCTGACGGTCAGTCCATGCCTAACCAGCATTGACCTGACTGAAATTGACTTAAAAAAAAATAGAAAGGAGGGAGAGCAGAACGACAGGATGCCAGGATCACCTGGATTCAAAAGGTGTATTCAGTGCCTGGCTATGCCGGTCTCCGATGGGCATTCCCGCTGCGTGAAGTGCCTCGGGGACTCTCATGTCCTGGCAAAGTGCAGCCATTGCGCAAATCTGACAGCTTGCGCTAGAAGGGATCGCAAGCTGAGGCGGAGAGTCCTTTTATTCAACAAGACTCTCCAGCCTCCACAGATCTCTGAGTTGCGTTCTGCAGACGAACATCACACTGGATGAGAGATCCCCCATGGGATCCAGAAGACACTTGGTGGCAGAGCGGCAAAACCGGGGACCTCTGGCTCTTCGCCAAGGTTCCCCGCAGACAAGTCGGGCAAGGGTCGCAGCTCCTCGGCCCCTTCTGTAGCCCACCATAAGGACTCCGCTCTGGCACCCAAAAAGGGCTTGCGAGCGGAGTTGGTGCCAGCAACGGCTCCAATGGCCGCTGTGGAGCCGGCAGGGGAAGCCCCAGCACTGAGGGTATGTCTACACTACCACCCTAGTTTGAACTAGGGTGGTTAATGTAG